CAGTGCTTTGCAGTGATCACGGTGTGCACGTGGTGAGTGAGATTGGGTTTTGCAATAGCATCTCCCCGCGGTGAGTATCCTGTCTGATACCTTTTTATATATCTTGTAACCAGTTGGTTCAGTTGCATTTAGTTTTAAATGGTTGTTAATAGTACAATATTAAATGCTTGGTCTTAACCTGATTATTGTCCTTTTCTTTTATCTCCTTTTAATAATAAATACTGAGTCTTTGACTTGAATGCACGTCTCCGGCTCTCCTTGTACCTGTAAAATAATTTGTTTGTGGGTTCAGGCAGAGACCCTCACACTGGGGTTGGTCACAAACGTTACAAGCAAAATAAGTAAAGCTGAATATTATCTAAATGAAGTGTGTGACAGACTCTGTATCTGAGCCATACCAGCAGCTCTTCCACTGCTCTCTGCAGCAGACCAGGAAACACTCTGACGTGTAGCGCGCTGACGTGATGCTGACGCTAAATACTTCAGGTAAGACATGAAACTGGCAGTTTCTTGTTGGTAGCTTCTGAGTGTGTGCTTACTGGCTCGTAGCGTGGCCGGCTAATATTATGGTGCTTAGCCTGTGGCTCTGAGGCCAAATTCAGTTGCGTTCAGTTTGACAAACAGCCACAGAGACTGAATCTGTCCTCACTGGTGCTGTCCACCACCACTGAGCTGTGACAGGAAGATGTCAGGGACGTCAAACCACCAATCATCTCCCTTTCTTTGTCTTTTTTTGGCTAGCCAGTCTGACGTGTCCGGCCCTCATTGTGGGGTGTGATCCAGTTCTTACACCTGGCCCATGTGCAGCCCACCAGCGCTTACAGATGCTCCGGCCCGGGACTGGAACCCCGACACTGAGAGCAGCCACAGAAAGGCACCAGCTTTCCTGCTCAATCTATGACCCATAAGTCAAGACAGATTACGTCTGATTGGATCGTTGATGGCGCGTCTGACCTACAATCTGCTGCATTCTCATTGCCGTCTCCCTGGGCGAAGGTTTCCATGGGAACAAGCCCTGGGCTCCTCTAATCTGTTGTTTTGCAGCCCTCACTCATCTGGAGGCAGGCTGGATTCTTTTTTGTCAGGCCCATATTCTTCTGCTCTATTTCCTCACTGAGCGCTCGCTCCCTCTCTTGCTCTGCTGCCAGCATAACCTCCTCTCTCTCCTGCCCTCCCTCCAATCCAGCTTCCTGTTATGAAATGGCTCAGACAGGTCAGTTGTAGAATCTCTGCCGACATGGCAGCGCTGCAGCCCAGTCACAAGGCTCTGCTCTTATTGAGCTCCTGATGACAAATGCACCAATAAAAACCTGGAAGGCAACTCGTACTCCTGTTCTGTGTTGTTTTAATTCACAGTATTTCAGCCCAAGACAGACAAAGGGGACAGATGAAGAGGAGCCCAGTGTGTGCTCATTATATAACAGGAGAACGAGGACAGAACAAAAGAGAGGAATAAACTGTGATGGAGGAAGCATTCAAGTCCTTCACACATCCCAGTGCAGCAGTGTCCAAATAGCCCCACAAGCCAAAGCCTGAATCCCTGCTGGAGCAGAAAAGGTTTCTGGTACCAGAGTGAAGACCAGCTCAGATGTGCCGAGGTGGGAAAAGCATTTCTCTGTTTAGCTGCTCTGAGCCTCATTCTGACACCTCAAGGCTGTTAAAGGTGTCATCGCACCCCTCATGTCAGCCAGCGGTCCAGCCCAGTCCAGCCCGGGCCACCCCAGAACCAGGACCAGTCATCTAGAAATAAAAAAGGCTCCGGACATGAGAAACAAGAGCCTTCACTGAAGAACTCTGAACTGAAATCCTGATGATAGTTTGGACTACAGCAGTTCATCCACAGAACTTTTCTAAAACGAAGGATTTTCATGAAATTTATTAAAAACGGAAAGTGGTCCACATGAGACTATGTGCAGGGTCTGGAGAGGAACGCACCAGTCCCACCACCGGTCCAGCTCATGAAGGATCTTCTACTTTCCATCTGCTGGAGTCTGTTGATGCTGACTGAGCTTTTTCCAACTTTTCCAAAAACAAGTTCCTAAACGAACAGAGATGTTTGTGGAACATTAAAGGTGCTCATTACTGCGACAGGGACCAAAACAAGCTGCTGTAAATAAATCATAAGAGCTGCTCTGGTTAGTTAACCAAGCAGCAGCTGCTCAGCTGATCCAGCGCAGCCAATGGGCTTCCACCGCAGGACGAGTCCAGTGGGTTTGTCTTCGTTTGGATCCGCTCAGCGGGATGCCGGTGTTTCCTCGTTTTTCCGCCCCCTCCTTTTGGTTTCGCCCAAACCGGCCTGAGCAGCAGCTCCTCAGCCCTGATCCCTCTGCTGCTGCTGCTGCTGCTGCTGCTGGGAGGCGCAGGAGGCGGAGGAGGAGGAGGAGGAGGATGCTCTCTGTCTGCCACTGAGCTGTCAATGGCCCGGTGCTGCTGGACGGCTGCGCGATGAACGCTTTGGCTTTTTACAGTCCGACGCCTGGAATGAGTCTGATGATGGATTTCCTTTATTTCCTGTGGATGCTGCCGTCGGTGTGGGCTGTCGAAGGTAAGCCGATGTTCAACTCTTGTTTGGATGTGAATGGCTGAAGATGTGGGACGCGCGCAGAAAGCGAGGGGACAGCTGCTGCATCAGTGCGCGCACACACACACACACACACACACACACACACACACACACACACAGATATATATGAATGTGTGAAGGAGCCAGTAGTATCCTGGTGTGTTTGTTCAGAGCTGGTCCTGAGGCTGTGTCTCCATCTCGCTGCTCTCTGAGACCTCAGGAGGCTCTGCTGGACTTCATCAGCTCCTCTTTATTTGACATCAGTAGAGTCCTGCTGTCTCCAGCAGTGTTATTTTCCTCTTCCTTAGAAGTAGGTTTCCAACCTGTAGAGCTCCATCCACCCCACAGACCTCCAGTGTGCAGGCAGGACGTCACTTTATCAGCAGTGCTGGACATTTGTGTCGGTCAGCTTGCCTGATCTCCTGGATGACATGGTTTACTGTTAGTGGAGCTGTGAGGACTCTCCTCAGTGACTTCTGGGTTTTCACTGTGTAGGTCCTGTTTTAACTGCCCCACTGGGGTGGGAGTGGCTGACTCAGGGTGAAGGACCACAGACAGACAAACTAGGGAGGATTTAGAATCACCAGGTAACCTCAGCATGTGGTGGGCTGTGGGAGGAAGAACCCGGGGCTGGGTTTTCACTGGCAGTGAATGAAGACAAACTCCATAATGAAAAGGCTCCAGAGCTTGTGGCTGTGAGGCGACGGTGCTGCCGTCCTCCCCAAGCCCTCACTTGTGCCATCCTGTCCATCATCCTGCCCATCATTGCTGTCTTTATTGCCATTACAGCCGTACTGTTTGGCGCTTACAGCTGTAAACTGTGTGCTTATATACTGAACGGATCAAAACACATTGGTGAAGAAAAGTCTGCCTGGAGGCCCAAACCACAGATAAATTAGGGAAGAGCATGAAGTCGGTGTGAATAACTCTGGTTTGAGTCTGGAACGATTCTGGACAGACGAACCTCCAGCGATGAGCCGGCACAGCTGGACTGTATTAAACATACCTATGACTGGTATAGCATCACATTTAAATGAATTAATACTTCTACTTTAATATTAGCAGTACAGTTTATCTCCACAAGCTTCCTGAGCCGCTGGGGCTCACTCAGTACAAACTCACGCTGAGCAGCCAGGCGTTCTGGTGGAGACACAACCAACACAGTGTGCATAATAATAAATAATAACGCTGAATAACACGAAACAGAAACGTGTCTGAATGTGTCCATATGTCTCGTTAACTCCATCATGTCTGTTGGATAATAAGGCTTCATACGTAAGTCTACAACAATCCACCAGAGCGGCACCATGATGACGGCAGTGATCGGTTTGATCAATACTGAGCCACAGTTATTAATAATTTATTATTAATAGTTATTAATAATTTGTTAATAGTCACGATTATTAACTGAGCTTATGGACAAAACAGTTGCACTCTCTCATGTGAATAAACAGAGCTGTGCTTTCATACGAACTGCAAATCTGTCAGAATAAAACCTACAATAAGGTTCTTCTTCTCCTGAATCCAAAACATCAGTAAAACTACATCCAAGACACCTGGTTGGCTGAACATGTCTTTATGAATAGTCGCTGTAGTTTACTGATGCTCCCTAAACGCCTCAACATCTGGGCAGATGTGCACCGGGACGCCTTTAGTCTTTCCTCAGTTTGTGCAGTGCAGTATCTCTGACAGGTGTGTGACTAAAAGGATTTAGAAACGAGTGAAACAAGGTGTTCTAGTGTCACATTTACCTGAGCTGAACCAAGCCAGTTTATCTACGGGCTGTTTTCATTAATCATCAGCTAATTGCCTCAGCGGTGCACACTCCTACTCACATTTGTAAATCATCAGAGTGCCACAAAGTCATTGTTACCCAGAAATCCTGGGGCGAGCAGCACTCTGCCATTTGGCAGCATTTCCCAGCAGTGCTCCTGCTTTGAGAGGAGGCCCATGGACAGGACCAGGGTCCTGTCAGAACACAGCCCAGGTGTCTGACTGCTCAGTGGACTCAGTCAGCTCTGCTTGTGGATCACACATTGGATGAAATGTGATAATATTTGAGGGCTGCCCGGTGGTTCAGTGGTTAGCAATGTCACCTTATAGCTAGGTGGGTTCAATTCCCGTCCTTGGATCTTCCTGCGTGGAGTCTCCATGTTCTCCCCGTGCAGCGTGGGTTCTCTCCGGGTTCTCCGGCTTCCTCCCACAGTCCAGAAACATGCTGAGGTTAATTGGTGATTGTAAATTGTCCGTAGGTGTGAATGTGAGTGTGCTTGGTTGTCTGTCTCTAAGTGTAGCCCTGTGATAGACTGGTTACCTGTCCAGGTGAACCTGCCTTCACCCTGAGTCAGCTGGGATAGGCCCCGCCCCCCATGACCCTACTGAGGATGAAGGTGTAGAGATGATGGATGGATCGAAGAAAACATCTGCATGAGTATCATCAAGTATTGTGACATAAAATAAGAAATAAAACGCTGCTGGTATTGTGCTTCATTTAGAGCTGATCTTAATTTAAATCACATAATTAACATAATGAAAACAAAAAGCTTCTTTAAATAATGATCCTATAGAACTGCAGTTATATAAGGACTTTGATATGGAGTCTGGACAGCTCAGTGATTAGCGGCTATTCACAGTTTCTCTCTCCGGCTTGAGGCCAAATGTTTTATTTGCCATCAACAGAGAACTGGCTGCTCCCATGATGATGATGAATCGCTGGAGGGTTGGAAAGTTTCCTCAATCTTTCACAGTCAATGAGTGTCATTTTATAGCAGCGCTAACAGTGATGAAGCAGTAAATGTCTGAAAAGTTCTCCTAAGATCCTCTTATCCCTAAAATTAATTTCCATTCTCTGCCAGAAGCCTGTTGTCTGGAAAGATTCTCCACTCCAGCATTTGGCCAGAATATGAGGACAGTTGGTACTCGTCTGGTTCCAACAGAACCAGATCCTGATTCTATAGCATACAGTCATATCTTAGATCGTAGTTAGCGTCCACCAGAACTGCTTTTCCCAAGTTTGTGTGAACAAACCTGGATGGGCCCTAACCTCAGGCCTACCACAAGCCTTAGAACCAGCAGACCGTCATCAGTCAGAGACTCACGTCTGCTTGTTTGTGTCTAAATGGGAGCAAATCCTCGCAGCAGGTTCCACAATCAGCTGGAGAGACGTTCATATGGGAGGGCACCAAGAACCGCCTCCTAAATCCAGACGGAAAAAGAATCATTTTCACTTTAGTCTGCTTATGGGTTTCTCAACTAATTTTATATTTTGCTAGAGGCTGCAGGTGGATCAGTGGTTAGCACCGTGGCCTCACAGCTAGAAGGTCGCCAGTTCACGTCCCAGTGAGGACACCCGGGATCTTCCTGCGTGGAGTCTCCATGTTCTCCCCGTGCAGCGTGGGTTCTCTCCGGGTTCTCCGGCTTCCTCCCACAGTCCAGAAACATGCTGAGGTTAATTGGTGATTGTAAATTGTCCGTAGGTGTGAATGTGAGTGTGCTTGGTTGTCTGTCTCTAAGTGTAGCCCTGTGATAGACTGGTTACCTGTCCAGGTGAACCTGCCTTCACCCTGAGTCAGCTGGGATAGACTCCGCCCCCCATGACCCTGGTGAGGGTTAAGGTGTGTAAAGATCAGATCTGCACTAGTCGTCGTGCTAGCTGAACGTCTTTTCGTCTCTTGTATTGTCTAAATCAATCACGAGTTCAGCATTTTTCTCAGTTCATCAACTAAACTGCTTTATTCGTGTCCGATCAATCATCTTGATTCGGCAAATGCTGATCCAAAAAGTCTTTACAGGGACGGGTCTGGACTTGCCGTCACCATGGTTACGTTCTTCAGCTCTGTTTTCCGCTGATAGCGTTTTCTTTGCTAAGTAGCGTTTCACACAACTCTGCTGTGAAGACGGCAGGAGGACATTCTCATGACACGAAGTCTTTCTCTGTGTGACAGCATCGAGGCGCGTCGGCTGACTGAAGCGAGCTAACCGCCTCATAGCGACTTTACTGTGACGGCAGCAGCGTCCGTGTGCTTCCACTGGGAGACCCACGGCGCTCTGCACAGCCAGTCGTCCACCTCACCTTCCTCCTTACAGGGGAGAAGCACTGGTTAAAAGCACAGTAACTACATGAATTCCTTTGTTTACCTCGACAAATGGGGCGGCAGTACTACTTCAGAAGTACTAATATCACACTGTAATGCTACTTAAGTATAAAACGCGATATAAAAGTAAAAACAGTCAACGCAGAAACATACTTCCTATAACTGTCATATATTATATCATTACATTATTACTATTCTCACAATCATGTGAAAGCAGAACTTCACTTCATACCAACAACATCCAGCGCTACACGTTCATGTGTCGGATGTCTGGAATGTCCACATGCTGGTGGGAATTTACTTTAAGGAAGCGGTGCAACAAGCTGAAGCAATTAGTCCAAATCGATGAGCCAACAATTTGGAGGTCAAACTAAAAGTAAGTGTGAAGCGTGACCATTAAAGGTGCCAAACGTTGAAGGCTGTAGACTGTGATGGTCAGCGTGGAGGTTTGATTCTTCCCTGTCTCTTCATCCACCTGCTCACGTTTGACCCAAAGGATTCAAGATTCAAGGATTCAAGGCCTTTATTGGTCACAAACACGGTTATACATGGTGCACCGAAACAGTCATGGTAAATGTTCTGCACTTATACAGCGCTTCTACCCAAAGCGCCTCACAACGTGTTTCTCATTCACACACATTCACACACCAATGAGCTGCCATCAAGGTGCTGCTGGGAGCAGCTTCAGGTTCAGGGTCTTGCCCAAGGACGCTTCGGCTGTGGAGGGGATCAAACCACAAACCTTGTGATTGGAGGACAACCCGCTGTAACACCTGAGCCACAGCCGCCCGATAATAAGATGAACAAGAATAAAGACTAAAACACACAGAGTCCACGTTGTAGTAAACTGGAGATACTGTGTCCTTTTAAGTCCATTTTGAAAAGTAG